TAACACCCGCAGGTGTGTACAGAGCTCATTAATACCGTAACAGATAAACGTATTAGTCATAATACGTATCATTAAATTTTAGACGAAATCTTATTTAAATCTTATTTTCATGTAGTTACTGAATTAAATATATTACTACTTGGAGAGACTGGTGTAGGAAAGTCTACTTTTATAAACGCATTTGCAAACTATATAAAGTTCAAAACCTTGGATGAAGCAATGCGTGGGAAGATGGATACACTAATCCCATCCATGTTCACAATAATGGATGCATTTTCTGAACAGAAGAATGTTGTTATAGGCCAAAGTGATGAAAATGAATTAGTTACAAACAAAGGAATGTCCTGTACTCAAGGTTGTAGAAGTTATAAATTCAGAGTGGATGATAATACCGAAGTGAGATTTATTGATACCCCTGGAATAGGTGATACTAAAGGATTATATGCCGATGAAAAAAATTTTGAAAATATTCTAAAATATATCAGCCAATTTGATCATTTGAATGGGATCTGCATTCTTCTTAAATCAAATAGCACTCGATTAACCATAATGTTCAGATTCTGCATACAAGAATTATTGTCACATCTTCATAAGGATGCTAGAAACAATATTGTTTTCTGTTTCACTAATTGCAGAGGAACATTTTATGGTCCAGGTGATACATTGCCAGCATTAAACGAACAATTATCGAAAACTGATGTTGAAATAAAAACTGATCAAGATACATTATACTGTTTTGACAATGAAGCATTTAAATTTTTAGCTGCTTTCAAACAACGTATAACGTTTGAAGCAAATAGTAAAAAAATTTATGCTGAAAGTTGGAAAAAAGCCGCCAATGAGTCTGATCGACTTATTCAATATTTCAAATCATGTTCTCCTCATAATATAAAGGACACTATATCACTTAATAACGCTAGACAAATTGTGATGGATCTTTCCAAACCTCTTGCTGAAGTTTGTCAAAATCTTCAGATAAATATTGCTTTGGCTGAAGAAAAAAGGGAAGAGATGAAACAATTTGATTCAATAATTGCTGATCTTAATGACAAATTGCATATTCCACAAATTGATCTTAGGCCAATACAATTAAATTATCCAAGAACGGTGTGTACAAGTGCTTCTTGTGTTAAAGTTTTAACTGTAGGGGAAACAAGAATGAAACAGATTGACTACGTAACTCACTGTCATAAACGATGTTATCTACAAGGTGTTGAGTTTAATGTTATAAACAATAAGGCTCTTTTAGGTTGCATAGCCATGAGAGGAACCCAGAATTGCCAAGTATGTGGTTGTTCTTGGAACAATCATATGCATATTACTTATGAGAACGAACAAGTGTCTGTAGATAAAATTGATGAGAATATAAAACTTTTAATCAACGAAAGACAGAATGACCAAACTATAAAGGAGCAGTATATAAACGATCTAGAAAAGAGGATCAAGCAACTGAAAGATGAAAAAAAGATCGTAAATAACATTATGATGATATTTGCATTATTCCTAAGGCAAAATGCGATAGCCCCCTTTAATGATGCATACATTGACTATTTGGACCATTTCATAAATGAAGAAAAAATTAAAAAGAGTTCTAATCCAAATGCTTACAATAATGATGTGCTTAATGAACTTGAAACTTCAAGAAAAGAATATGTTGAGAAAATGGAAACCATAAAAGAGTCGCTTGAAGACGACAAGGCATCTCTAACTTCAATTTCTCCGGAACTTATTAACGACTTGGAGAACCATCTCTATCATCTTACTATTTCTGGTCAAACTTTACAAATGATGAAAGATGAAACAAAACGCGGTTATATTAATGCGATAAACCATCATGAAATGCTTCGCGATAGTACTTCTAGATTTTCCATCATGCGACAAATGTTTCATCATGCGGCAAATGTTTTTAACTAGTAGACTTTATAAAAAATGATGCTAGAATAGATTTCTTAGTATATATATATATATTACATAACATTTGACCAAATTGATGCGCCGCAGTGGCTAGATGTTTAACGCAAGCGATAAACTAGATGACCACTTTTGTATAGTATTGGTGCACGATTTAGTTTAAAGCACTGATTTTTTTTTAATACAATGATTTTTTTTTTTTTTTTGAAATGCAACGATTTTTTTCATCGCAACTTTTTTTCAACGCAATTTTTTTTTTCAACGAAACGATTTTTTTTTAATGCAACAATTTATTCAATGCAACGATTTTTTAATGTAACGATATTATTTGTTAAATACACCAATTTTTTACCTAACATTAAAATTCAAATTAAGTTTTATATTTCAAATAACAAAGTATGCACCATTATATATTACGAAATCAAAATTATAAATTACCACCTGGTATACCTTATGATTATACCCAAATAAGCCACACTTGGCAAATCATTTAAGACGATAGAGATAAAATTTATAAAAAAAATATTTTGTAAAATAAAATGCAAAAAGCTATAAAAAAATTATCCATCATGTTTTCCATTAGTCTTTCATTAATCTAGTGTCTTGAACATGAGATCTGGTTTTTGATCTTGAATATTTGGGTTGGTAGCTTTAATTCCGACATTTAGATAAGTCAATAAGTAGTTGTTGACAGTTGCTGAATCATAAACAGGGTAATTATTATACAAATGCGACATGGTTTAGTGAATTCCAAGTAGCCACCGAATAAATCAATAATACGGCTTTAATCTTTGATTCTAATACTTCTACTCTACCTAAATAGACAAACAGCAATAATAAGTACCAAAAGGAAAGTAAAAATAAACAGTAAATAAATAACAATAAAACTTACGCTTTCATACTCGATTGGTAGTATTTAAATTCTGCCGAAATCTTTCTTTTATATCTTCTGAAATAAGAATGGCCGGTCTTAAAAAAACGAATATAATACGTTTTATACTCTCTTTCCAAAGACAATTTATTGAATTTTTTTCACGCTTTTTGCATGTATAATTTAAAAATTACAAAAATACCAAAGATATTTAGAAAGGTTGCATAGCGCATCAAAAATTTTTATAAGAAATACTTACTGGAAGTTTGCTCTTTTACCAGAAGAAAATTAATATAATACCAGTGAGGATAATTCTACGATTGTTTTTGGCGTAACTAATTCGTCTAAGATGTTTGTTGTTTTCTTTCTTAAATGTAAGAAATGTAATTGTAATCAGATTGATTTGTATTGTGTCTTATTGCGGATTGAAACGAGTTCATCATCAGAGTCGCGTATGACTTATGCGTTCTTCGTTAAAAAGTCGCGTATATTGGCATTACTATGTCATAAGAATAAATCGTTAAAAAAAAAAAAATTAAAAATAAAAAAAATTAATTTCGATAGTATAAAATTTTATGAACCTTGTTATGCAAATCTTCAAACAGTTGATTTATGCGACAAACATGATAAAGATGGATTTATACATAATTTGCAAATTTATGTCGATCTAAACAATCAGTTTGATTGGCTAATTTCTGCATAGTATGATATATCATATGTCTGGCGTAGGGACTAAACTCGTCAACTCATGATTAGTGATGTATTCCAAACTAATTGGGACGTCCAAAACTATGCGATAATTAGTATAACATAGTTTTTGCGATAGGAAAAAAAAAAACAGCCGAAACTACTGCTATACTGATGATCAAATAGTTTGAGTTACATTTATACTCGTGGCTCGAATAATTCGAATCATGAAATTTTAACTCGAGAGTCACTCGCGTATAGTTTTATTTATCAAATTTTCAATAGTCACTCAAATTATGTGAATAACTCGATAAAAGAATTAAAATTATATGATTCGAGTACTCTAATGAGTTTAATTCGCGAGTCATGAGCTGAAACGAGTTTAATCACTAGTCTGGAGTATAGATGCTGGTGAAACTGGTGACTATCTAAAATTTGATTGGCTGTTATATTAAATTTCACCAGTTTCACCACCATTCACCAAGAGTTTCACCAGTTTCACCAGCACCAATAGTCTGGATTCATCATACATATAACACAAACGCGTAATTACAAATATAGACACATGGCGTGATATGATTTATACAGATGCATCAAAAACATACCTTTTTTTTTTACTTTGCATAAATATTAAAGGTCCTCCGTTACGCATCAAATAGGTACGTAACCGGGTTTAACCCGAATTTTATAAATCGGGTCGGACATGGGCCGGGCCTAATACTACAGGAGCGACCGTCGATGTTACACGACTGATCCTTCACCCGGTGTGCAACTTATAAAAAAACTATTTTACAATACCAGATCATTCCGACAGTACATGTTATGATTATAATCCCACACCATTTTTAATAATAAAAATGGTGTGGGATTATAATCATAACATGTACTGTCGGAATGATCTGGTATTGTAAAATAGTTTTTTTATAAGTTGCACACCGGGTGAAGGATCAGTCGTGTAACATCGACGGTCGCTCCTGTAGCCTAATACATAAAGTATCGGGTCGGGTTCTGGCTCTCCGCCAAAGTCTGATCGACTTATAGCATCATACAGGGACGTATTGTTAGAGCCAAATTCAAATAAGGTACGTACGTACGTACGTACATACGTAGCTGCGCGGTGCTGTCGCACGACACCAGAAACATAGATTTTTTATGCAGTACATTACAGTAGCTTTCTAGACCGGTATTAATAACTGATTAGAATTAACAGGCTAAATTTATAAGGTGCCAGTGCCATTTTATTTAGTAATTAAGAATAACAATTGATAGTGTAAATTCTCGAACTACAGAAATAACGCATAGGGTGAAATTACGAAATTTAGCCTAAATGAAGCTTAATTTGAACCAAAATTCAAAAATAATGCCTATACCCGCTATTTTAGAATTTACAATAAATTTTAAATAAAATATTTAAGCAAATTTATTAATTAAATAGCTTTTATATTTACTGACCAAATTGAAACGGAATAAGAAGCATTGCACTATAATGATAAAAAGTTACGCAATTATAGCAAATTTTAGTAAACCTCGAATCTTACCTGTAAGATGAATTAAAATTTTTGTAGCATCATGAATATTAAATGTATGTACTGTATTATATACTAAACTTCATGAACATACCCCTTATTTGGAATCATTAACTTACATTCAAAATCTTGAACAAATTTATTGTTGAAATCACAAATCCATTCGCTGTTGAAATCACAAACAATTTATTATCAAAACTGTAAACACGCTTGCTGTTAAAATCAAAAAGTCATCCACCACTGAAATCGTGAACACATTACGCTGTTAAATTATAAATTCATTTTTTTTAAATTATTAACTCAATTAAAATCACGAACTAACCACTGTCGAATTGTGACCATTTACTATTGAGATCATTAATCCGCCCACCATTGAAATCACTGACTCATCCACCTTTAAATCACTAACCCATCCAATGCTGAAATCATGAACCTATCCACTACAGTCGTCCTCCTCTACAGTCACCTCCTATATAGTCACACCCTCTTTATAAGCACCATTTTTTGAAAAATTATTAGCAATTTATTTATTAAAAAAAACTTTATATAATCACAATACTATAACCACATCTTTTTTATATAAAACAAACCGCGTGATTATAAAGGAGGACGACTGTATCAAAATCATGAACTCTCCCGCTATTAAGATCAATAACACACCAACTACTAAAACTGTACAGTAAATTATCCATTATCGAAATTATAGACCACTCACTATTGAAATTACGAACTCACTTATGATCATACTCCTCAACATATCTACCACTATAATCCACACATTGTTAAAATCGCAACCTATTCACTGTCGAATTACGGACTACTACTATTATCATTATTGCAAAATGGTGTATTTTTTATATTTTGCAAATCGTGGTCCACATGTGACGTAATTGAGAAGTGCATTTCTTAACCAAAAATTTAACATAAATATAATATTTTTATAATTTTTTCTTGCCATATATATGTTGTACCTCAGACTAACGCTTGCTTCAGATCACAGCTGACGCACCTCAGATGCAGATCGTAAGGTGAGGTGCGTAACCTATCGATCGGTCAATAAGCACTAAAAAAAAAATTATATGGCGTCTTTGCCTTGAAAATCAAGTATGGGACATATGATTTACTATGTCCTATGACTTGATTTTCAAGGCAAAGACCCCACATGTAAAGACATTATTGGAAATTGAACGTGCCAAAAAAACATAGACAGGAAGAATATGCCGCAAAATTTAGGCAAAAAAAAAACTATATGTATAGAGAGAAAAATGTACGTATTAATTGGAAATAGAATGTGCCGTGAAAATTCAGACAATGAAATTTAAAGAAAAGAACGGAGGTACTAAAGAGACTTAATGTAAAAGAATGTTACTGTTGGTGGTAAAATACCAGAGATTCAAGTATGCTATTGGAGGTAAGATGACGCCAAAGTGATTCAAAATATAGAATGCTATTGGAGTAAGAAAGACGCCAAAGTGATTTAAAAAATGCTACCAGCGAGAAAAACACTCAGAAATCTCAAGAATTAAAAGGATTCAAGTAAAAGGTCTTTATTTTACTTTTATTTTTGTTAGATTGCAGCTTAGATGATAATCGATAGGCTACAGGCTACGCACATCACCTGACGATCTGCATCTGAGGTACGTTGTTACGCACATCCTGATCGACAGAGTAATTTCCGCAGTAAAATGGTTACATCGCCATGACTACTAAAACATTTGAAGATTGATTAATCACCGAGCATTGAATTACACCATTTTTACATACCATTATTTCATTTTTCATAATTTCTAAACCTTACATATTGTTTTCTTCATTTTTCTTTCTGTTACTTCATTTTTCTTGAAATCTCATAGCCATTACTTCATAGTTTGTAATTTCAAATGAATTACTTCATTTTCTTTACTACAGAAAGTGTGGGA